TGTATATATGTCATATTGGAAACATAAATATTGCAATAGACTAGCCCCTGAACCAGGTGAGGACCCCCATGGACCTATGGCTCCCATGGACACCTAGGGCTACATGCAACAGCTTGCTCTTTTGCATGGGTGGGCACAGTTGTATCCCCTTTCCCCCTCTTACCTCTTTGGTGTGTGTGTGAAAGGAGACAGACATATCCAAGAGAAGCTTCCGCTGCTCCACCCGGCGCACAAAATCTTGGATTCGGACTTCCAGGTGCCGAGCTGCCTTGTAGATCTCCTCTGGGTCACATTCTCCAGTCTGTGCCAGCTGCTCGGCTGCCTCTAGGAGCTTGTCTGCATTGGTGTATGTGTTCTGCAGGCAGACAGAAGTGGGGGACAGTCACCACCAAGATCCCCAGACTGAAGCTGTCTCCCCAGCACGCTTCCTACCCCAACACCCCCGGTACAGAGCTTCCCAAAGCTTCAGACAAGAAAGGTGGGAAAAGCACTGGATGTACCCCAAAATTGGCAAAAGAAGAGGCACCTACCCACCTCGGAGCTCCCACACACTGTCTCTCAGTCAGCTAAGCAGCTTGCCTGGCTAATGAACACAACTGTGCACTTGCTATTTTTCCCATCCCTGGAATATCTCTGAGACAGAGCATCTCTTGAAAGAAACAAATGGACAGGCGGGAACCATGATATCCTTGATCCAGTCCCCTCCCCCATTAGGAAGCCCCATCACTGCTATCACATTTCAGGTTGGAAATGCCTCCTCCAAAAGGACTGGATGGGGGGAACCCCAGAAGCACAGTCACTAGGCAATTTCTCCTTTCTTTTTCAAGTTTCCTACAATGTCTGGCTCTTATCTCTTTTGGATTTGAGCTGTATCTCTGGAAGGGTAGGATAGGGGTCAACAATGTTGACTGAAAGAAGCATCCAGAGCCTGTGTGAAGAAAGGCAGGAATGGGGTCTTACTGTTTGTAGAAACTTTGAACAAGCAGCCAGTGATATTGCCTCTCTCACATCATGTCTCCACCCTCTAGTTTGGCCATATGACACCCATTCTCCAGAGCAGTGACAAATACAACAAAATCTCAATTTTCTGTCATAGTGGTGAGAAAGTTAAGCTATTGAGAACACTAGGTAACCTGAAAGTCATTTAGATTGGTCTTTTGAAATGATTATGTGACTTTTCCCTAGTGGGTTTCCCTGTTTTTGCTAATATTGGCTTAGGCTAAAATTAAAAAAAGAATTTTCATTCTCCTGAGCATATGGTGACTTACAATTGGACGGGAAGGTGGCCCAGATATACTCCCTAACCTTGTTAGTACCTTTCTGATGATAAATGGCCAATAAGTATTGGTAGGTAGGTGGATGCTGATGAGGAGGTCTGTGTAGGAGGGAAGCCAGTCTCTGATGTGAAAATGGAAACCAGAATGTGGATAATTGAGAGCCAGTTTTAATGTACTTCACTTTGCCCATGAAGAAACAGCCTAAAATTCTCATGGTTCAATTGAGGTGTCATCAGCTATGACAACTGGAAGGAAACTTAGAGGTCTGCAGATCAAAGGATCCTAAAAATCTATAGAGCTATAAGGGACCTCAGAGATCCTATACTCAAACCCCTTATTTTATAGCTAAAGACACTGGGGCCCAAAGAGATTAAATGACTTGTTAAAACTCATACATGCAGTAAGTGATAGAATCAGTATTTGAACCCCAGTCTTCTTCCTCCAAAGTTGTGTTTTTTTCTATCATCATCATCATCATTGTTATCATCATCATCATCATCACTATCACTTATAAAGAGATTTAAAGTTTGCAAAGAGCTTTAAAAATATTAACTCATTTGACCCTCATAACCATGGAGGTAGGTGCTATTATTATCCCTGTTTTGTTGATCAATCATTTTTCCAGTCGTGTCCAACTTTTCATGACCCCATTTGGGGTTTTCTTAGCAAAGATACTGGAGTGGTTTGCCATTTCCTTCTCCATCTCATTTTATGGATGAGGAAACTGAAGCAAACAGGGTTAAGTGACTTGCCCAGGATCGCACAGCCAGTAAGTGTCTGAGGTCAGATTTGATCTCAGGAAGATGAGTCTGACTCCAGGCGTAGCACTTTATCTACTGCACCATCTAGCTGCCCACATCCCCATTTTATTTATGAAAAAATTGAGGTAGATAGAGTTTAAATGGACTGCCCAGGGTCACACAGCTAGTAAGCATCTGAGGCTAGATTTGAACTTGTCTTTCTGACTCCAGGATCAGCACAGTATCTATTGGGCCACCAATATGAAATGGCTTTCACACCATGCTGCCTCTCAAGCAATCTAATTCAACTCACTGGAAAGTATTCCTAATCTTCCCACTAGTCCTCCAGGGCCCCAAGCTGTCTCTCATTCTAGGAGGGCTCTGGAGAAGTGCAGTATTTCACATATGAAGAAATAAAAGCTCAAAGTCATAAAATGCATGGCCCAAGGTAACACAATCAGTGGCTATGCCTGGGTCCTACCTCCTGACTCCCAATTCATTGCCTCTCTTACATAATAAAATAACCAGTGTTTAAATAGCACTTTATGGTTTGCAAATCTCTTTACATAAGTTATTTCATTTGATTCTCAGAACAACCCCGTGAAGTGGGCACTATTATCTCTATTTTACCAGTGAAGAAACTGAGGCTATGGGCAGGTTAAGTGACTCGTCCACAGCCAAATATCTAAGAAGGACCCACTGTACTACCTGGCTGCCATCACATCCATGATGCTGCCACTTGTCAGGGTATCCAACCTTAGACTTAACTAGATACCACTAATTAACAAACTTTCTGAAGCTGAGGAAATCATTTTTGGGACTTGGCCCCCAGGACTATGTTAATGTAGGTCTCTTAGAGATGGAAGAAACCCACAGGAAATACATCTTTACACAGTCCGGAAACTTCCCAGGGAAAGCTTATCCTCTTACAAGACTACTTTGACTCCTATGAGGCCTGGCATTTTTGGGTAGTTGAGTTATTTGGAGGGATGATTTAAAGAATTCGTTAGTTCTCCGGCTTTGAAATCTCTCTTATTAGCTTCAAATTCTACCATTAGAGATTAATTCTAAGTTAAGGCACTGCTCCAGCCATGCAGTCTCTTTGAAAATGCCATATTTACCTATTATCAGTCCTTAATACGTTAGTGTGAATTAGATTACCAGACTGTTACTTGGGTAACAAGGCACTTGGGAAATCAGCTATACCACTGAGGAAAGGGAGGAAGAATACTAAGAGTATTAAGCAATGATTTGTTACAAAGAGTTCCCCCACCTTTTCTCTCTCAGGTAATTGAGGAGAGAGAGCCTATGAGGAAACAGAAGCTAGCAATAGTGATGCCAAAAAAGGGGCCATTTTAACACTTTTTTAATGTACAGAAGACAAAAGCAGGAAATTCAGAAGGATGCATGGATAAGCAGGATAATTTTGAAAACAACATGTAGAATTTACCCATGCTTCAATTCCCCTGGACTCTCTCAGGCATCCTCCTCCTTCTCCTAACCTGCTACAAATGAGGACCCCACCCGTTTGGTGCAGTTTGAATTTGAGGTGCCAATAAGACATCTAGGCAAAGATGGCTAGCAACAAGTTGGGTGGGAGTATAAGCGAGACCCTGGGAGCAGGAATATAGATTTAGTCATCATCTACATAGGACTGTAATTGAAGCCATAGGAGTGAGTGAAATCATTCGACTGGAGACCTATTTAAAGGTCTCTAAAATCAGGGGACAAAAAGGATCCATTTGGGGGTAGATGACGCTGGACATGAGAAATTTGTTAACTTTCCATATCTGGAATATATAAAAAGAGAGAGAAGAGGCGGACACAGATGAGGAGAGGACCAAGGGCAGACTTTAGGAAAGAATAGAAGTTTGAGTGTTAACTGTTAAAGAGAGTTCTGAACTTTAAATAAACCCTGAGTTTGGAAGAGCCTTCCAAGAATTATCTGGTCCCACTGTCCATATGCAATAGTATCTCTCTCTCTCTCTCTCTGTCTCCCTGTCTTTCCCTCTCTGTCCTCCCTTTCCTATCCTTTTCTCTCTGTCTCTCTCGGTCTCTCTCTGTCTCTCTTCTCTTTCTGTCTGTTCTCCCTCTTTTGTTCTCTCCTATTCTCTTCTCTTTTCTCCCTCTCTCCCTCCCCTTCCTCTTTCTCTGTCTCCATCTCTCTCTGTATCTCTGTCTCTGTCTCTGTCTCTCCTTCCCGCCACCACCACATTTCTGGAAAACTGGAGTAACCAAACTCACACAGATGATTCTATCTCCTATCCTTAATAGCCCCCATAGATTCAGCCTGCTAAAATCTTTTGGCAATTGGCCTTGATGTCTAACTAGAGACCCCCCTGCTGCAGTCCTTGGCCCCCTGCTTTTTGTTTTATGCTCGGTAGAGATACAGAACATTCCAGAATGACGTCTCTACAATGTACAAGCCTCTTGTCCAGCTTCCCCATGCCAATCCTCCTCTTCTATGAGGAAGAATAGAAGATGCATTTTGAGGGCTCAGGGATAGAAGAAGCAACTGATTATTAGGGCACTCATTAGTGAATTAAAAACTCATGCAAATGAGTCTCCATTATTTTCTGGTCAAGTGCCCAGGTACTTAGTGTAACATATCCATTGAGCCTATTTGTACCTCTCTCTGAGGGCAAGTGGCCAAGTTCTCAAGACCCTCTTTTACAAAAACGTGATTCCTGAAGTCTGCAATGGAGGGGCAGAAGGAGTGAGGTCTGAGAGAGGCCTGAAGAATTCCGAAAGGCAGTAACAATAGGGTTACGTGGCTCTCCCCTGCATGTATACATGGATGTCTATTCCTGCAACTAAGTTATTCTGTGTAATAAAACTAGGGGCTACATTTAGGAAAACAGGGGGTGTCTAATTAAGCTTTTCTCAGTTAGCACAGCTGACCCAATCGGGACAAAGGGACACGGAAGAGAAGAGTCACTTAGACCAGGGGAGTATTACAGAAAAAGAAGAGGAAGGCAGGCATTGCCTATGGACTTGAAAATTTAATGAATGGCATCTAATTCATATACAAAACCTAATGTAAATGAGGATCTAGTATTCTCAGGCCAAGGGATCAGGCCCTTGGCACATATTCAGCCCGCAGTGGGCCTTGCTGGACCTTGTGTGGACTTAATTCCTCTAAGGAATAGAATAGGTCTCCAGGAGGGACCCGGCCATGCTTCACTTGATTCCTTGCTTCTTGGCCATTGTCTTGGCAGCCATTTTGCCATCTCCAAACTACCCTCTGCCCCCGACTCTCTATCTCGTTCTAGAACCACAATCCAATGAATACTACCATTACTCCTGGAAAGGGTGTGCCACTCCACTACTCACCTAGA